ATTTGAGTCTATAGGCCTATTTATTTTCCAGCTATTATTTTACCATCAAAGGCCAAAGGTCTGTAATTCAGCTACCAATAGCAGAGTTAGAGCACTTACAGAATTGAGAGGCCTGGTTTGAAGGATGGCAACTTCCTACCATCCTGGAATGAGACCCCATGTGACACAGAGAGAGTGGCCCTGTCTTCTCAGAAGTGTAGAACACTTGACGGTGTTTATACTGATGCACTAACACCCTAAAATTCAGTGGAAACAGTTGAAACATCACTGGGCAGTGACAGTCAATGTGAGATGCTGTGCCCATTCCTGGTTATTTTATCGACTAATCATATGTTTTATATGTATATTAAAGAAAGGCAAATGGGGAACAAGGAAGAACTTGGTATCTGCGCAGCTAAAAAGATCTGCCTTGTGGTTATTCTTTTGGGTGCCAGGAAGTTGACATGCAATACCCATTCAACTAATCCTCTATAAACAGTTGGTTTTCCGTAATCACAGCCACTATTCCCATGTTGGAGGGCAGCAGCATTCAGAGGAAAGCCAGACCTAGTGCCTGTATAATAAGCACCAGAAACTGAGTGCCAGAAAAGCTGCTGCTGTCCATGCCACAGGCACGCTCTTCTGACAACAAGGCCTATAAAGAATGGGAGGAAAACTCCAAAGGTAAAGAGATCTGTTCCCACCCAGGAACTCCTCTCCACCCTTCCTGAGTAACTCAAATGAAAGGACAGGTGACTGGTGAAACAGCTCCAGAACAGAACCCCCAGGCACTCAAAAGCACAGAGTTTAGAGGTAGGCACTTGTCTTGTCTAGTATGTCCAGGTCTGGGGTTTGACTCCTAGCAAGCATGCCCATGCACACAGAGACTCGTTTTTCAACAGAGGGTAACAGATTAAGAAATCATTTTTATATTCTCTCTCTCTCTCTCTCCTCTCCTCTCCTCTCCTCTCCTCTCCTCTCCTCTCCTCTCCTCTCCCTCTCCCTCCCCTCCCTCCCTCCCTCCCTCCCTCCCTCCCTCCCTCCCTCCCTCCCTCCCTCCCTCCCTCTCTCTCTCAGGTTTTTCGAGACAGGGTTTCTCTGTGGCTTTGGAGGCTGTCCTGGAACTAGCTCTTGTAGACCAGGCTGGTCTCGAACTCACAGAGATCCGCCTGTCTCTGCCTCTCGAATGCTGGGATTAAAGGTGTGAGCCACCACTGCCCAGCTAAATCATTTTTATATACCCTTAATAGACACCATCGCATTTAAATACTCATGCATGTTCTAAGTCTTTGGAGTTATCACGCCCATCTCACAGGAATCAAAAGGCAGAAGGCTCAATAACATGCCTGTAGCCTACAGAGATCTGCCCGCCTCTCCTTTCCAGTACTGGGAATAAAGGAGTGCACCACCACCAGCTTTAAAGATTTCTTTTTAAATTGTTTTCGTTGCCAGGTGGTGATGGCACACGCCTTTAATCTCAGAACTCAGGAGGCAGAGGCAGGAGCATCTCTGTGAGTTTGAAGTCAGTCTGGTCTACACCGTGAATTCCAGGACAGCCAGCACTGTTACTCAGAGAAACCCTGTCTCAAAAACAGAAACAAACAACATTATTTTTACTTTATGGACCTGGAGAAGTGGTGAGATTAAGGGCACTTGCTACTTTTGCTGAGAACAGGGTGGTGGCTCACAGCTGTCTGTAATTCTAGTTCTAGGTGATCCAATGTCCTCTTCTGACCTCTGCAGGTTCTAGGCATCCATGCACTGCAGACATACATTCATGCAAAACGCTCATGCATACAAAATAAAATAACCTTAAAAAAATACAGCTGGTGGTGATGCATGCCTTTAATCCCAGCAATTGGGAGGCAGAGGCAGGTGGATCTCTGTGAGTTCGAGGCCAGCCTGATCTACAAGATCGAGTTGCAGGACAGCCATAGCTACACAGAGAAACCCTGTTCTGAAAAACCAAAATATAAACATGGGGTGAGAGAGCTGGCTCAGTGGTTAAGAGCACTGGCTCTCTTCCAGAGGACAGGTCCAATTCCCAGCACCCATATTGTGACTCACAGTCATCTGCAACTGTCTGTAACTCCAGTTTCAGAGGATCCACTTACACCCTCTTCTTACCTCTGCAGACAAAACATCCATACACATAAAATAAATTTTAAAAAGTTAAAAATCCATTCATTCTATGTTTAATCTCTGTATGCCCATGTGTGCTCACAGATGCCTAGAAAGGGTGCTGGACCTCCTGAGCTTGAATCATAGGGGGTGGTTAGAGGCCTGATGTGAGTCTGGCACACCTTTAGTCCCAGCACTTGGGAGGCAGAGGCAGGCGGATCTCTGTGAGTTTGAGGCCAGCCTGGTCTACAGAGCGAGTTCCAGGTCAGCCAGGGCAGTTATACAGAGAAACCCTGTCTTGAAAAATAAAAAAGTGTAATAATTATAAGAAGCCACCTGATGTGGGTGCTGGGAAGCAAGTCCTCTTGACCACTGAGCCATCTACCTGGGCTCTCCTAGGCCACCCACCCACTTTCTTTTTTTTGGTTTTTCGAGACGGGGTTTCTCTGTATTGTTTTGGAGGCTGTCCTGGAACTTGCTTTGTAGACCAAGCTGGCCTCGAACTCACAGAGATCCTCCTGCCTCTGCCTCTCGAGTGCTGGGATTAAAGGTGTGCGCCACCAACGCCTGGCTTCACCCACCTTTTTTTAAAGGCTGAGAGCATCTGTATCATGCAAAGAAACACTATTCAGAAACAGTAACTTTCCAGTGAGTTGTCAAGACAGGACCTGAACTTCCCAAGGTACTAGGCTAAGGTAGGAAACACTGTTGGGAGGGATTGGGTGCTCTGGTCACTGACAAGGCCAGAAACACAACACAGGTCTGCTGACCGGCTTCAAAGCCCAGTCTGTCATGTTTCTTGGATGCTAATGCCCGCCCTTCTGATGTTTCAAGTCATCTGAGAATAGCAAAGAAACAAGTTAATAACCCATGAGAAGAAAGATGTGGGAAAGCATCTAGATTATAAGAATTTTCTATAAAAAGGTTCATAACCATAGATTTTTATCAAGAAAGTTCTGGAATACTGGCACCTTCGAAATTCCTCATCTTCTGCAGCAAAAATGAAATGTGACCTTTGCCCTCCCCTCTCACTGGCTGTAATGATTAGCCCAGCTAGGTCAATAGCTAAGGAAAATACAAGACAAGCCTCGCCCCACTGATTAGAACAATCACAGATCTGCCCCACTACCAAACTCCTCCCATGCAATCAGATGAAAAGTGGGACCCAAGGATACTTGCAGGGGTCCTCCAAGGCTGCAGAGCGAGTCTGCTGTCCTCTGGAGAAGCCAGGAGGAAACAGTGTAGAGAAGGCACAGCCATAAATAACAGACAGAGAAGGAAAATGCTTCCGGAATGATGACCAGAAAAGTCTCCTCACGAGGCTGGCCCACCAGAGCAGCCTGAGGGGAGAAGCCATCACTGAATCAGCCTTTTGATAAGGGCAACCAAGAAGAGAGCAGGTCAGACTAGGAGAATCCCACTTTCTAACTAGGAAGACAGGTGAGCAGCACAGCACAAGGTTAAAGGTCAGCCAGGTCTGTTTCAGCTGAGGAGGTGAAACTGAGTAAAACTGTCTGGTGTTTTCAGTGTTGCCTAGCAAACACAAGACCCTGAGATGACCCCAGCACCAACTCCCACCCCTTTGCAAGGTGTTGGGTTAATTCTAGAGTGTACTACTTTTTTTTTCCCCAAAGCATCTAGATAAAATGCCTGTCAAGATTTCTTTTATCAGATCTTTATGCTTTGCAACCTTCAGCAGATAAAAGGGACAGATAAAAGTTGAGATAATAGCTGAAGGCCCAGTTTTCCAGCACCTGTAACTAAAAAGGCCTGAGCTGTCAGGTTAACACTGGGCTGTCTGTCAGCTTTGGACGCATCTACTTTCTAACTCTTGTCCCAAGCAAAACTGCTACATTTGAGTCAGGCTACTTTAATTTTTTTAAACTATGCAATAAATTCAGAAAAAAATGAAATCCCTAGAAAACTTAAGGAGGATTTATTTCTACATCCTTGCTGCTCTTCATTGGCAAAATCTTTTCAGAACCTCTTCTGCAAAGAGTGAGAAATGCAGATCATTTCCACATGAAATACATTAAAATCATACCTGCCCACAGTGTGGGTTTTTCAAAGGTACTCTGGTGGCCCATCTCAGCACATTTACATGCTCAATCATGACTCAGTTTTAATTTAGTTACCCACTGACTGGAGTCGTCAGTTTCCTGGGATGCACTTGGAACCTCAGAACCTTTCTTCCTGTTAACAGTTATCAGGATCCTACATGTACTCTACATTACGTGCCCAGAAAAACTTCATTTTTAAAAGAGGAAATCAGTAAGCACCAACAGAAAATAAAATATCCAACTAACAAAACCCTACCACCCACTATCCTAATGGATTCACCCCTCTCCTTTCCAGAGCCCAAGTGTGGCCAGATTAAGTATCAATCATGACCCTCCCCCTCCCAGGTCGGAGGTACTTCCGGTTACTAGGTCAAGCCTGAAGCCACCAGCCGGGTGAGGTGGGTGGTCCTCCCTCACCTTCCAGGAGGCAGGAATTGCAGGTACAGAGCCTGGGCCTTACAGCTGGCCTTTAGGAAACTCTTCAGTACAAGTTCATCAGAAGCATTTGACTCTCAGCTTTTGAAACAGCAAAGGCATTTTTTTTAAGCTCCCATTAAGCAACTAATAAAAACCGTTTTCAGCACAAAGTGCAAACATTTAAAGCTAGGATAGCAAAGATTTAAAAGTATTTTTCTAAAACAAAGAAACAAATTAAGGAGGTGGGGGAAAGACAATCCCAGTAGAATTCCAAAAACCTCTCAATTCTATCCTTTCGTTTGGTCGATGTCTTTTGATAATTACCAAATCCAAACTAGCGATAAAATACCGTTTCCTGTTCCAGCCACTGGATTTAAAATTAGATGTGACTCTCCAGCGGTCCCTTCCCCCAGCTAACTCTGTTCTTCCAGTTACAACGCGTTCTTCAGGAGGATAAGCACAGTATGTCAGTCTGCCATCTGAAAACCACCAGCTGAAGGAGTCGAGGAAGCAGCACGGAATCTGAGGCCAGCCTGCTCAGGCACAGCGCGGGGTTAAAGGAACCATTTCCTAAGCTCAGATGTGGAGAAGCAGCATGAGCAGACCAAAGAGGAAAAAAGCCAAGTTACATAAAGTCCGATTGTACTCACGGTTTCCTTATTGGGAAGCAGCTCCTTTCTGATTCTGAAGAAGTTCTTGCCGTACTGCCGGAGCCCCTTAACGAAGCGTTTCTGTGATAAAAAAGAAACAAGTGAGACGTAAAAACCAAAACCAAAACAGGATGTCAGCAAAGCAAAGATATCTGCAATCAGCAGAATAGCAACCGCAGAAAACTCTGAGCTCGGGAATATTAGCCAGGCTGGAGGCTTTCGGCGGCACAGCTGGGACCTGCTGGGCAGGGCAGGGCAGCCCCCGGCCTGCGGGGAACCACAAGCCGTGCTGCGCCGCGTATTTCGGGAAAGGCAAGCGGAGCTAGGGCGGCCTCCTGACACCGTGGGCTGCATGGAGGTGCAAACAACAAACAGCCCGCGTTGCAAAAACCAGCACAGCCGCTTTCCACCCGCGGAAGCATCTGCCTTCTCAGAAGTGTCTCGGGCAGCTCCGGCCCTCGTCCCCTTCCCTGACCACAAAAGCCCACCCGAAGCCCGCAGCCCTGTAGCCGAGAGCCTCTAGGGTCGAGCCCCGGGTCCGCCCGGCCCGCAGACTTTCACTTCGTTCAGCTCCATGAGCTGCCCCCACCTCTGATCCAAGCGCAACCCGTAGCCACAGGTAAGGAGGCCGCGCCCGTCCCCGGGCTCCACAAAGCGCAGGGCCAGGCGGCCGCGGGCTGCTCAGCGTGTGACCGCGGCGGGGCCGCGCGGGGCGCGGGGCGCGGGGAGCGGAGGGCGCCGGGGGAGGAGGCTGGAGCGCAGCGAGCCCGGCGGCGGGCAGCTGCAAAAAGCGGCCTGGATCGCCGCCGTGGCCCGCTCGGCTCCGCCCAGCCCGGCCCCGCAGGCGGCTGAGCTCCAGCCGCGGCCTTCAGGGGTCCTCCCTGCGGGCGGGGCACCACGGCAGCGAAACTTGCTCCCCACGCGGGCCAGGTCGCACGCCCACTGCGAGGCAACAAAACCCGCACCAGTACCAGTGCCCACCCCAGTGGCCACTCCGGCCCGCGGCTGAGGTGTTCGCTCCTGCCAGGCACGGGTATCAGCCTGCACTTCACAAGTGATCACCAAGGAAGCGCCCCAGTCAATAAATCACCTGCCCACCGGGAAGAGGGGCCTCCCGCTCCGGGTGCTAGAGACCCGCGGGACAAACGCTGGGAAGGGCCAGACCTGGCCTGCGAGACCCATCTGCAACCTCCTACTCTAGTCCTGCAGGCTCTGCGAGTTCCGATGTCTCCCTTTGCTAGGATATGACTCATCACTGTCAATTTCCAATGTAATTGATACAGTTCAGTGGGAACAATCTGTGAGGCACAAGAAAGCAGCACACACTCCTCTGGTACGAAGAGCGACTTCCTGGTACTTGACTTCTGCACCAGCCAGACAAGCAACAGGCATCCGAAGCTGCACACAGCATCTCCGCCAGAACTAGAACAAGAGCTCTGCCCTCAAGGAGTTTCAGTCAGCCCAAAGAAGCAAACAGGTACAGATGACTCTCCGGCCTCTAAGGAAGCGGCAGAGGAACAAAGGGTGGTGGGCGGAGCTAGGAGGAGGAAGCTTGCATGGCTTGACTTAGGGGAAGTCACAAGGAAGAGCATAAGCCTGCCAGGTGGGCTCCAGCTGGACTTGAAGTTGACCAAAAGGACATAGGAACATTCTGGAAGCTGCAAGGACAAGTATGCAGAAAAGGGACTGCCTGAAAAAGAGAGTAAGGATTCAGGCTGCAGAGAGCTCTGAGGAGCTGAGGCCTTTGGCACACCGGTGGTGGTGGGGGGGGGGGGGATGGTTGAAGGAGGAGCTTTCCCTGGGGAAAGCTCCAGTATGGACCAGGAACAGAGCAGAGGCAGGCACACTGCACTGGTAGGAAATGAGGCAGTGAACTCACTTTAATAATTTACTGAACACCTAACACTGGGAGGGACTTTGAAAAACCGTGCCAGGACATGTATTAAACTATGGCTGGCTTTCAGCAGGTAAGGTAAGTGCATGGAGCGTCATTCCAGAACACTCCGAGGTAGGTCCTGACCAAGCATAAAGAAGCAAGGGGCGTCTCACCTGCGCACCAAGGAAGCTCCACTCATGAATGACTGGTACGGCCTTTGGCAGTACAGAGCATCTTCACAGGTTACCAAGGGAAGGGGCAGCATTTGCAGGGCTGGAGGGGGCTCTGAGAAGAGGAAATGGGCTGTGGGAGACAGTTTAGGGGTGGAATGCCAGACTGTGGGATAAGATATAGGATTGGAGCCGGGCGTTGGTGGCACACGCCTTTAATCCCAGCACTCGGGAGGCAGAGGCAGGAGGATCTCTGTGAGTTTGAGGCCAGCCTGGTCTACAGAGTGAGTTCCAGGACAGCCTCCAAAACAATACAGAGAAACCCTGTCTCGAAAAACCAAAAAAAAAAAAAAAAAAAAAAAGATATAGGATTGGATTGGTACCCAGCAACACACAACACATTCACCAGAAGAGAAGGAAGAGGCTGGCTCTGCAACATCTGGGTAATGTGACAGGAGGGTGAGAAATACCATTCAAACCAACAGTAGTTATTAAGTATCCACCTCATCATCCCCAACATAAGCAAGTTCTGCCATTACTCCCATTTTACAGACAAGGAAGCTGAGGCACAGAGGGTTAAGAAACAGACCAAGGTCACCCAGCCTCACAAACCCGTATGTTCCCTGACATATCCATGAAATTCTGTCTGTCCTGGTGTCTATCCTAAAACCACACTTTCTAGCTCACTTCACACCAGTTCTTCAGTTCTCCTGACAGGGGCTGCTCAGCCCTTCCTTCCTCCCAACCTACCCAGCTCAGGTCCAGGCCCCACCTTGAGCACTCTCTCCAGGGAGTTAGCTCACCAAAGAGCCTGTTACAAGCCTCCACCAAGGAATTTTTCAAAACTACAGATTTTAAGTACATACTTGTAATCCTAGTGCTAGGAAGATGGAAGTCAGAAATTTAAGGTTATTCTCAACTGTACAGCAGATTAGAAAACAGCATGAGACCCTGCCTCAAAAACACAAAACAACAAAAAAGTTCCATCCTTCCCTAGGCAGTGCCTAAGAACAACTTTAACATTTTCAGGGCAGGCTGGGCACACACCTTTAATCCCAGCACTGGGGAGGCAGAGGCAGGCAGATCTCTGTGAGTTTGAGGCCAGCCTGGTCTACAAGAGCTAGTTCCAGGACAGCCTCCAAAACAATACAGAGAAACCCTGTCTCAAAAAACCAAACCAAACAAAAACATTTGCAGGGCAGTGCTCACTCGCCTCAGCCCTGACTTCAAGCCCCCACCCCTTTCCATGCAGATGTCTAAGGGTGCCAGCCTGTTTTCAAGGTTCATTTCAAATACAGACTAGAATCCCTCCTGCTCCCAGAGTGAAGTCCTGTGGCCAGCCCCCTCCCACTCACTCATCTGCAGGAGATGTCACTGACTTGGCCTATACACCCTGGGAAGGCAGCGATCCTCTCCCACGCCACTTCCCTCCCTAGGTGCTGGGCCAGCTGGTATCCTCCAAGTTTCTGAAGTCAACTATGAGACAAGGTGGGGCTGGAAATAGACTAAGAAATGGAGAAGGGTCCACAGCCAGGCAATGTGGGGCTTGTCTAGAAATCCAGCACTTGGGAGATGGAGGCAGGAGGATAAGGCATTCACATTCTTCTGTACATAGCCTGAGTCTGCCCCGGCTATATCAGACCCTGCATTAAAAAGTAAAGCAAAGGGGGGAAAATGAACAAAAAACAAAACAAAAAAACAACCAAAAACCCAACACCTCACAGCAAACAAGCAAGAACCACCACAGACAAAAAACAAAAACAAAACAAAAAGAACCACCACAGGAAGGCAGGCCCAGCCTGAGCTCTGAGAGCAGATCTGACCTCTGGGCCTCCTGGTTTTCCTGGATCACCTGGCCCAATTCTTTTCTTAGCCTTTAAAGATGTTTCCAAAGTTCTGGGCTTTCTGCTCACCAAGACTCCCGTGATCTTGATCTTAACCCCGCCACTGAGAACACTCTGTTATCAGACTGTCTTACAGACATCTCAAACTGGCCACACTTCCAGAAATATGAACCTGACATCTGATGGTGAATGAAGCCAATCACTGCTGTCTATGCATGACCAGTACAAAGTGCCCTTGGCCCCACTTTAAAAAAAAAAAGAGGAAGTAAAAGCTTCATGTGGCCTGTGCTGTTGTTTCTCTATGGAAAGCCACAGGCCTCAAAACCAGCCAAACAACTGCCTCTCAGGACGACTTCACCTGTGGTTTACCAGAAATGCAGAGTGGCCTCTAAAATGGAAACAGAGCCAAGCCCTCAGAACACACATTAACTGGCCCTCAGTGTGTGAGACTGCCTTCTAAAAAGGCTGTGAACACCATTCCCTCTGCACACCCCTCCATGTGAAGACCTTCATGTTTCCAACAGTAAATTAACAATTACCACAGAGAGGAATGCTAAGTCACTAAGTTCATGGCCATGGTCTGTTCCTTCCAAGACCCTGTGTATCATTTCTCTGTCCCTGATGGCATAAATATTAGAATGCCAGACTGCCAAAGGCAACAGAGAAAGAAGATGCGTGCATTTCCACTGTGGGACCAGTGGGGTCACATGCCAGTGCTAAGCAGCCCTGCTGTCTGCTCCGGAGCTTGCCATCACCCCACTTGTATGTGGGTGCTGAGGCTCTCGGGAAGCTGGCACTTGTTTCGTTGGCATTTTTCTCCTCCAAGTAACCTGAGTGTGTGGCTATTTCTGCATCCTCACAGCCAGGTGAAGCCCAAACAGAACTTATCCATGGCAAGGACAACATTCTTGATGCCTCAACTCAGTTCATGAGTTTAATGCAGGGTTTTCACCCAAGTTCCTAAGAGGGAAAACTTAATGCCTAGATTTAGAAAATGTAATAGGGGCTGGAGAGCTGGCTCAGTGGTTAAGAGCAGTTGTTGCTTTTACAGATGGTTTGATTCCCAGCACCCACATGGAGGCTCACAACTCTGTAACTCCAGTTCCAGGGGAACTGACACCCTCTTCTGACTGCAAGACCACCAGGCACACACATGGTGGACTTACAACACATAGGCAAAACACTCATTCAAATGAAATCTAAAAAAACACTTTTTTTAAAAGTACTCAGTACCATTGAAGCTGGGGCTCTGCCCAACTTCCATTGTGCGTGTGTGTGTGTGTAAGTGGACAGTAATTGAGGCCATGAAGTTAAAACACAATGTGAAAAATCTGGCCATCAGGAAAAGGTTTCTGAACACACTACAGTTAGAAATTAATGAAAAACTCAAACACAGTCAAGTTTCTGTCAGCAATCACCCATTCACTACAGCCTGCTGAGCACATGTTATGTATACTGTGCATGCCATCACACCACACAAGGCTAATGAATGCTACATCAAACACCTTGCTTCAGATTTGAGATGAAGGGCAGGGTTGTTGTTACTGTACTTACGAAGTTTTCTGCTCTTATGGAAACAATAGTTTAATTATGGAAAACAAAGACTTTTAATATTTTCCTCATTGTTTAAGTATCTAATCAGTCTCTTTGGATTATGTAGTGTTGAGAATGCCTTTTTTAAAAAAGTGCTGTTTGAAGTTAAGAGCTTTTGTTGCTCTTCCAGAGGACCCCAGTTTGTTTCCCAGCACCCAAACCCAGCAGCTCACAACCACCTATAACCCAGCTCTAGGGGACCCAGCATGGTCTGCTGGCCTCCACAGGTACCTTTAGATATGAGGCATTCCCTCATACAGACACATGTGCAAACGTGCACACACACACACACACACACACACACACACACACACACACAAATAAAAATAAAACCAAAGCCGGGCGTTGGTGGCGCATGCCTTTAATCCCAGCACTTGGGAGGCAGAGGCAGGTGGATTTCTGTGAGTTCTAGGCCAGCCTGGTCTACAGAGTAAGTTCCAGGACAGCCTCCAAAACAATACAGAGAAACCCTGTCTCGAAAAAAAAAAATAAATTAAAAAAAAAAACCAAATCTTTAAAATGTGACATTTTGGTGGCTGGCAAAGTGGCTTAGCATGTCATGGGGCTTGCAGGAAGCCTGACAACCTGAGTTCCATCTCTAGGATCCTAGCGGCAGAGAGAACTCCTGCATGCTGTCCTCCCGTCTTCACATGAGCCCTACAGCATGTGCATGCCCCAACTCAGATGACTGACACACACACATTAACAGTGCAGAAGAAAAACATTTTAAATAAAGATTGCTTTTGAATTTCATAGAAATTGTCCAGTCCTGGAATGGGATTAGAAAAGAATTTCCAGCCATTTATGAAAAGGCCTTAATCATACTTCTGCCATTTGTGCTATATTTTCATGTGAACATTGATGCTATAAAACCTAAATATTGAATAATTCTGAAAAACCCCAAAGATGCTCAACATCCTGCATTATTATTCCAGCAAGATTTCTTTTATGTCAAACAAGCACACCCACATCACTAACACGCAAATGTTTTCAC